CACTTTTGTGTACATCTTCTAGGTGAATTTGTTCAGGTATGCGAGTATTCTTAGATGTTGCTTTTACATAGGACCAGAATTTCTTTGTAATTAGATTCGAATCATCCTCGTCCTCAAAGCTAGATGCCATCTTGTTGGAGGCAATTTTCTTAAAATCGCTTCTGCTTTTAGAGAACTTAAAGTACTTCTCAGCCTTGCAGGAAGGGTCCGTGGTTTCTTTATAACTTTTGTGTAGCCTTTCTTTTTCTAGGCAGGCCTGATGAGACTCAGCGTCAAACCAAGGAGGTTGAGCCCTGCCTCCAATTTTAATCTTTGGAATATGTTCATTGGTTCTTTGCTCTAAAACTTCCTTAAACTTGTTCCATGATGTTTCCATATTACCAGTGAACTCTGCCTGCCAGTCAATATCTGCAAGGTCTGCATTAAGTGCATCCCAATTTGCTCTTTTAAAATTTAAAGATTCCCTCTTTTGCGATTTGATGCGCTTCACCTTTGATTTCAAAGTAAAGGAGACTGCAAAATGGTCGGACTTACATGGAATATTATGTTCTGAAATTTTTATATCGGAGATAAGATGGGGTTTATCGGTTAAGACTAGATCAAGAATGTTTCCTCCAGTATGTGTTGGACTGGTAATAAGTTGTTCTAAACCAAAGTTACTAAAAGTATCTAGAAAGAGCTGTTCAACCGGATTGCTGCTACAGTAATTCTGCCAATCAATACCAGGTAGATTAAGATCCCCTGCAATTACAATACCTCTAACACCTCTACGTTGCCTTGCCTTCCTAACATAATCTTGGAAGGCGTTATGATTGTTGGCCCCTAAAGTACCTACCCTATAGAAGCTGCAAAGAATTAGTTTACTACCGTCCCTAAATTTGAGTGTTATACCAAGAAGCTCTGCCGGGCACTTGTACTCTAACTTAGTAGATACAATATCAATGTCCCTACGTATAGCAACTAAAACGCCACCCCCATGCTTCCTAAATCTTCTTGGATTCTGTGGATCTGGTGGATGGGTTTGTAAGGAACGATCAAGTCTAAAAACTTTGTACGATTCAGGTATGACTTCAGAGTCAATGATAGACTTTTTAAGCCAAGATTCATTGATCAGGAGGATGTCTGGTTCATGGCAGTGAATATAGTGATGGAGTTCAAATATTTTAGTGTTGTCAAAAGAAGGATTGTCGGACTGTAGCTGTGAGAAGGGAATCAGGCCATGCGTATTAAAAGAAACAACCTTGAGGTATGTAGTAGGCCCAGGGTTAAGTAAGCTTGGGTTGACAATAATTAAAAGGACAGCGTTCAAGGTATGTATCCAAAGCATGCAGCTAACAGTAATAATATTGAGGTAGTGCATAATTAGCTGAATGTATCCGTAACTGTCTGGCTTGTTTTCAAGACCAGTGAAGTTCAGCTTGCCAAGTAAGCCAGGAGAAGCCCCTAAAATTTTATAAAGCCACCAGTCTTTTGAAGAGAAAAAACATTAATACCGCAGCATAGCTTTTGCTATGACTGTGGAAGAGATGAATAAATTCATTGTCTGAGATGCTGTGGAAGGCTGTGACAGTAAAAGGTCTAAAATGACACTCCAAAGCCATCCCAATCGTCACACTCATCACACATAATGCAAAATAGAGATACAAATAAATCAAAACAAAAAGTCTTAAAGCATCAAGAACCCCGATGTCGGGCACAAAGTTACCTGTTATACTAACCTGCTTAGATCTGCGGTTCTTACTGTTGTTATAAATACCAACTCTTAATCTATATTGACTTAGATCTATCATCTAGTAGCATTAAGGGAACCCTGTTAACCGACATCCAGCTCCAAAAACTTTTAAAACACAGTCTAATATATCTTAAAATTCGGATTATGAAAACTAGCTTGACCCCTAAAGCCCTAATAGTAATTACTGAAAAGTGAATGGGTCAAAAAAGTTACTATGAACCGCTCTCAGATAAAGTTTAGCTGGGACACCCATGCCCCTAGCCTCACTGGGATGGATGTCTCCAGCCTTGAAAAATCTATCATCTCTGATATGAGGTACTCGAGGATCAAAGTATCGTAGAGAAAATGGACGAAAAGCGTCTAACATATGGAATCTTCGATATATACATTCATTCTTGATGACACTATTCATTTTCATAACAAAAGAGTTAGTTCTCCAGTCATGCCTGCTTTTGCAAGGCAGAGGTAAAAGGGACTGAAAATAAACTTTTGAAGAAGTATAAAGTTCTTTGATTAAAGCACATAGACTCTTAAATTTAAGCTTAATCTTATCTAAAGAGTCCGCATATCTAATGTCGTTCGTTCCGACACTAATACATATCTTATCTACAATGACAGACTCATTCTTAGACTTAAAATCTCTAATCTGCTCCATCACTTGATGTATTCTTGCTCCTCCACTGGCAACAGACACAACATCAACACATTTTCTACCAAGTTTTACAGTGTCCAGCCTGGCAGCATAGCTATCACCAGCGATTAGGCACACATGTCTGAATGCTGGAGCTGTGAGGCTACCGTTATCAATATCACTCTTGACGTGACCTGACGGTTGTTCAGCTCCCTTCGTTTGTGCTACATCCGGTAGAGGTGGCTGAGGACGCTTTGCCATAGCCCGGAAGGATAATGAATATCTCAGCGAAGGTGTCCCAGGTGCGCCTGATTCACCAGGAACGCGATGCTTCATAACCTCCTGGGTACCAGGTTTCATAAGCACCAGGCTTCTGTTCTCCATTCTGAAGGATCGGACAACCTTTTTGTCAGCATTGGAGAGAAAGTCAATCGTCCGGGGTTCACCAATTGATAGATTACAAATGGGCTGATTTGTGTCCATGGTTGTTTCGTCGTCTGCATGCAGACTCGTACCTGCACTTGTTGAAGTGTACTTGAGTACTAAACAAGAGTCCATTTTGCAATTAAACCTCTCATTAAATGTCTCCATAACTTTACTGAAAGTAGGAAGTGTGGTAATGTCCTTAGCATGATGTACTGGCTTACTATCGACATATATGTAAGGCCTGTCGGTTACACTGAGCCATTGTGACTCAGGTCTTCTGGATGAAGCCGACAAGTTGAGGGAATCACACTCAGCCAACAAGTCGGAACAAACTGCACTGTCAATTATATCTGGAATAAATTCCAAGTGTCCAACCAGGTGCCTAAAATCCATAATCTTCTGAGCAGTTTTAATGAGGGCTGCTAGGTCCTGTGTTGAAGCGGATGAAAGCGATTCAATAGTATCTTTGAGGTTAAACATTGTATTGTACCAAGATGAGGGAGCTGGATTCAGGTTCACTGGATTGCCGTCAAGGTATCAAGAGCAGTCACCACCAGTTGTCAGCGATTAAGTGTAGCTGAGGAAAGAAAGTGAGTTGAATGGTGAAATAACAAAATTGAAGACAAGAATTAATGAGAACAGTGTTAGCAGCGACCAGTGGTCATTATGCTAGCAAGATCATCAAAAAACCATCCTCTCAACAAGAAACTTGCTGAGGATGCAGCAACTGTTATCCTGGACTCATAAAAGAAGAGAGTATTATGGAGGTTGAATAATCGAAACTGATTGAGAAGAAAGTGGTAAAAATAGGTATAACTAAATTTTTATTTAGTCAATATACAACCTGGTAGTGAAGTTAGGAGCCACCCAGCTTTATGCTGGGTGGAAGAGAAGGAGAAACTGGCAGTGAACAACTCAAGACACCCATCTGGCTCCCCAGATCCCCATCATACCCGCCGATTCAGCTGCACTTTGCCGCCATGCTAGCGTACATGCCAATACGGAACAAATAGTGAAATGCCTTTTTGACGATATTTCCAATTCAGGCAAACTTGCATCAAGGATTTGAATCCCAGTGTCGTCTAGTTTATATGTATGTTTTAGGGAGTAGCTAATAAGGATCCATTGGATCTATGCGAAATTGAACATTTGTTTAATGTCTCAACGACCGACTCAGCTGAATGATCTGATACGTGATTGAGAGACCCTGCCAAAAGATCAAAAAGGGTACCCCTTCAGTATATTTACATTGTAGTGTGCTGCAATTAATATAGTACTCTACTGAATTGGTTTTTATATGACTATTGTTGAGGGTTTCTGACCTTATGGCTGGACAAAATCAATTTTGTAATCTCTTATTTTGTTGTATCCCTTCCACAGTGCCATCTAAGATTAGGTTAACAGCTTATGAACGTTAAGTTTAGACACAGTATTGGTTCTCAACCGGAATTATGACCGAAAGGTATAGATAGGGTGAATATGTGCCACGTGGCACACGGACTAACGAGCCTTACAAGTTAAGAAAAACAAAATTTTTCTTAACTTGATAAGCTCACTTGATACGAAACTACATACTGGAGGCGGAGGGTCGTTCTTCAAAAATATAATACGATGTACTAACAGAAACCTTCAAAAATCATAAATTGATTGTGTTCAGCTGAAATAAGAAATGAGACATAATATCACCTGTTTCGATTGGCTCAAGATCTAACTAAGTTCTTTTAATTGTTTACTGTTTCTTTGTTACGGAAATTGTTGGCATACTGTAACTAAACAAATTGGCATAGTGCAATGTTACGGATTCGATACTAGAAAGTGTTGCAAAAGTGGTCATTTTTGTTATTTTGTGGATGTATGCTAATTCGCTCCAGCATCCAAAAACTAGGGACTGTAGAAGAAGAAGTACTACCTTCTCTGTGCAGGATTTAATAAATCGGAATTCAATGCTCACGACTAGTATAAACATAAACTGTGACTATATGAATTTGAGATGGAAGGTTTTGAATTGTATTATTGGGTGCATTGTACTTTAGGCCTTAAAGCAATATTAACTGAACTGTCTTATCACTCACTGTTAAGATTTGGAGTTGCCACGTTTTATAGAAGGCTTGGATGTTAGAGTGTCTTGGGGAACTTATTGTTTCATTGACTATTTAACTCTAATGTATTGCGAAATTTTATAATGGAGTTGAACTATTTCATTTATTTTACATTATTTCTTTTTAGGTGATGGTTGTCATTGGAAGCATATCTCAACCATTTCAAACTGAGAAAAAGACATGTGTGAAAGATGCGTCGACATTGTGCTTGTTGAGAATCAACAAAATTCAAAGATATCTGGTTGATAACAATATTGATGGTTTTGTTGCTATCAATGGAATTGACAGTCGTTACAATCCTGACTGTAGGCATTTCATTAATTTCATCTTATTTGGCTGCTCCATGTATAAATCAGGGAGCTTCAGCAAATACTTTGAAATTGATACAGATGAAATTGTGATGCTCATTAAGCCGTCTAAAGTCGAGCTTTATGTCACTCACAAAGACATGAAAAGCATCCTTCCCTACCTAGCCAAAGTTCATGATCTTCAAATTCACTGCCTTGATGCCAACATCTCTAGCGATGAGAACATAGTTGAGGACCATAAAATTTACTCCTTTATCTCCATGACTCAAGGTGTCAATAAAATTGCCATTCCGTACTCCAATGACTCTAATGAGTTCGACCCAATGGTTATTGAAAAATGGCCACTACTTCAAGCATACGCTCTGGAAGACTATGGCTCACAAGGATTTTTCGGACTTACTCACTCGCTAATACCACTCAACTTTGAAAAGCTCTCCGTGTTCAGTGACTTTGATCTAGGATCTCTAAAACATCTGCTGAAAGATACAAGCATCTTGTTAAATTTCCAGTGGAATACTATGATAATGAATGTGTCCAATATGATAAAAAGTGAAACTCTAGATAACAGTTTGGATAAGGCTATTGATCCTGTTGTGAGCTATCTAGAGCATGGCAACCAAACAAGTGATAGTCATGCTCATGGTGCCACAGTTTTTGGATTGGAAAAACATGCGGTTACTAGAAAACCATTCTTCATTACTTGCTCTGTTATAGAATCTCCAAGTTCGCTGAGCTGTGGAAGAACTTACTTTATACACGACAATGTTGACTCCAGTGATTTGGTCCTCCTTTCATCAATATATGATGCCATGGCTGCCACTACACAAAGAACTATTCAACGCTTTTTAACCACACAAAACTCCTCAAAGCTACTTCAATACTTCACTAAGAAGTTCACTGAAAAGCTCAGTACTTACAAATATCCTCAGCTTGTAAATTTCAAAGCAAGCTCTGTAAAGATTGAAGTGAGTCTAGAAGCTTTTGATGTTAAAGGAAATAAAGTGAGTTCAAACTCAAAGTCAAGCATGAAAGTGTTTGGAGCAGCTGTTTCAAATATTGCTAGTTTGCAAAATACTAAAGTTGTCTACAAACCATTGGTATTTCAAGACACATTCTTTGAGTCTCACATTATCGTGAAAAATGATGACGTCTCTGCTGATGACTCTGAGCTGCTGATCGTTACAGACGTTATTCCTACCTATGTGCAATGGAACCATTTTGGAGCACAAAATGCAGACTCTGTACCGTGCTCTCTGCTGTGCAACGATGTTAACACTTATGAAGCTATGTTCAGATTGGAGGACAACACCATCAACATAACATCACCTTATTCTACGCTTCTTCAAATCAGAATAAACGACTTGAAGGAGATAAGAGTAAAGAAAACTGGATCAATCGCTGTCGCACTTTACCTTGAACATGCCTCTAATTGCTTACCTCCATTCCTGAAGAGGTTCTGCTTGGTGTTCTGGCAACGAGGGAAAGGTGTGAGGTTCACAAATGACACTTTGCTGCCTTTGTTTAGGGAGTACAATATACCAGAGTCTGCAGAAAATTTACCTCCAGATTTCCTGCTGAGATACGAAAATATTGTGACTGTTAAAACCAGTGATGTTGGCAACTTGGGAACTTCAGATGAGGGCAGGATGATCGAGTCTTCTTATCCCACTTACCCGTCATTTGCACCTCACATGATGCTAAGTTCTCTGGGGAATTTCACCTACAACCAACTTGATGTCAATCCAGCAATGAAATCTGAAACAGCAGAACCATTCATCTTCATCACATTGCTCGTTGGAATACCTGGTAGCAACCAAGAGAAAATCTGCTCCATAGTAACAGAAGGAACTAAAGAAGACCACCATTTCATTGTACTGAGACAGCCACTTGGTTCTGAAGAGCTGTTCAGTGCTCACAACATGCAAAAAGCTCTACAGATGCTGAGCAAGAGGGGAAATGATCCGATTCGAGTTATTGTCATTGTTTCTGCTTATGTTGAAGTACCTGAGGTGGTTGCAGCTATTGTCCATCATCCTGATAAGTTTACCAGGCAATCGTGTCATGTTGCCTCCGTGAGCACTTGCATTGACTTACGAAATCTGTTTATAAGCAACCGAACATGTTTCCCAAAAATAATTGAGCAGTGTAGCGAGGGATGGGTTAACAACATCATTGTTACCGGTTGTATTCCTTCCAAACAGAAAGGTAAAGATGAGAGAATTAGTTTCTTGAAGACCCTGAACCCTTCGTGCAGCATTATTGAGGTTGTGGGAAACAACTACATAGACAAAGATAGCCTTGTAGAAATGTGTACAGTTGATGCATTTGCTAAATCTACCCTGCCAATTTCAAGACATTTTACTGCTCCAGGATGGTATTCCTTACAATACAAACCAAATCCTCCCTTCATTCCCATTACATATCTTACAGTCTCGTTCGGAGCTGATCTCTGTAAAGCTCGCTTCATGTCCCATCTGAAGAGTCTCCACCAGAAGGAGGGACGAGTGTATGTTGATAGGTTGATGATGTCCGGCTCTATATTCTATGTTGGAGGCAGAGCTAAGTTTACGGAGGATAACAACCTTTACACCCTGGAGTGTACTCCAAGAAGTGAAACTATTTCTCTCAATACTTTCAACAAGCCCCTGCCTCCTGGCAGCAAGAATTGTTTCATTTTCACTGGCTACAAAATAACTGAACAGCAGGTGAAGCAGTGGTTACAAGGCTGCGCTCCGAAACCTCCCGTAAAAAAAGATAAATACACTAAATTTTCTTTGAGTTCAAAAGAAAAGGAAATGCTAAAGTTGGAAGCAGCGAGAGAGAAACTTCCAGAAGGGTGGTTTTATAATGGCTCTCATTACGTTTCCATGATGGAAGGAAAGAAGATGGAACACCCACTGTTTGATGATATTGTTGAAAGGTTCCTAAACAAGAGAAATGAGGAGATCGAACTTTTCAACCACAAAATTGATAACACTAAAGTGTCGTCGCTGTTCAATGGAAGTTAATTGTGTCGAGGTCCCGGTTGGGATTATTATAACTGATATTAGTGATGTTTGTGATTTGTTTTGTGTGCTCGCTTTTTACAAAATTAAGTTATCAAAGTTTAGTTTGTTTTCCAAGTTTTGTCAAAGTTTTCAGTTGTCAGAGTTTTCATTATCAAGTATTTTTTACAGTGTAAGATAAATTACTTTATGATATCAAATAATGTATACTATATTAAATCATACACTTATTATCATTGGAAGCTGGCTTCACTTTTTTTTACAAATAAAGTTATGTTTAACTTTAGTAAATTACTTATTATCTTTTTTTCAAAACTTACAGAAAGTCAGCATACGGGTATATGCCTCACAGAATGGCTAGCCTCACAGAATGGCCAAATTTGTAAATGTTTTTGTAACTAATTTTTTGTATAAGACTGGTAGGTTTTGTGGATACCATATGAAACAAAAGTCTTCTGGCAACACTTCCTGTGGTGAAATCATTAACTAGGACCACATTTTCTGGCATAAATATTACTGTTTATGTAGAAATTTTGAGCACTGAAAATTTGTTTTCAAATTTTTGAACTAAGTTTGCATTTTGGTGAGAACTTCTGTTACCAGTATGACAGATAATGTTCAAAGAATAGTATTCATCAAACAAAACGAACATTGTTCAATGTAGGAAGAAAAAAATGCTAAAATGGATACACGCCTCACAAAATGGCCAAAATATGCCTCACAAAATTTGTTTTCAAATTTTTGAACTAAGTTTGCATTTTGGTGAGAACTTCTGGCACCAGTATGACAGAAGATGTTTAAAGAATAGTATTCATAAAAAAAAACGAACATTGTTCAATATAGGAAGAAAAAATCGCTAAAATGGCTACACACCTCACAAAATGGCCAAAATATGCTTCAAAAAATGGCCAAAATTTAAAACTCCTTTTATTGATGTAGACATGTTAGTTTTGATGGTCTAAAGTATTCACAAGCTATTTATCATACAATAACACCCCAGATGGAGTGTTTTTTACAGCCGAATGAAGGTTATAAATCATGAAATCAGGGAATATGAACAAAATGGCCATTTTTGGTGTAGGAAATTATGCCCTTTTTATTCAGTTCTAGGAAATTTCACCTATATGGGGGTGTTAACAAGGCATATTTATACCAGCAGCATGCCTGAAACAAGAGCCAAAGGTTTTAGAAAAATAAAATTTTCTCGTTTTCATTTTTTTTTTGGCCATTTTGTGAGGCATTTTTTTGTTTGTTTGTGAAATAATTTTTCACAGCTCAGTTTTTTCGTGAGTTTTAGGTTATTAGCCCATTCCTTAATAGGTTTTCTAACAACGTGTGGTGATAGAAATTTAAAAAGTATCTCCATCAAAAAATTATAGAAGTTCAGATTTGGCCATTCTGTGAGGCATGTTTTTTTGGAGGAAGATTTTCCGGCCAATTTTTCTCAAAGAAAAAATGGTTATGAGATTAAATCAACCCCCGGGAAGAAAAATTTGAGTGTCAACTTAGCTTCTTATGAGATAAAAACTGGAATAAAGTGTGTTTTGTGATTTTGAGAGACCTTTCTTTTTTTTTGGCCATTCTGTGAGGCATATACCCGTAGTAACTCAGTTAATTATATTAGAATACATTCTGATAAGAATGCCATATAATTTTTTGTGTAAAATAGTTTTATTTACTACATGTGTATTATAAAGTAACAACTATGTATTTATAACAAATTAAATATTGTATTATAATATTTAATAATATAACTAAAAGTCAGTATTTTGTACGTAACATTGTGTTTCACTCGTGACACATAAGTTGTGTCATTGTCTCATGACAAAATAATATATCACATGCTACTAACTTTTAATATTTTCAAGGCTTGAATTAGAAATCAACAAGTATTCTGATATTCTTAAATAAAAAATAAATGACTATTGTATACGCTAAATAAGCTCCATCTACATTCTACATTTACAAATTACTATAAACATTGAAGAGTTTAAAAGTCAAAATCTCAAATCAGCTGGGACGATGGCTCAGACATTCCACCAGGAGTACATGGCTGTTCCGCCGGTTACACGAACTTACGCCACAGCGTGTGTACTGACCACTATCGCTGTTCAGCTTGACATCCTTTCACCCTTTCAGGTGAGCTTACATTTAAATTGTGATGTTTAATTTCGAATTTTATCATTAATAATAGGTTTATAGTCGGTCCGTCATTATTATCAATAGAATTTGTAACTCAGAAAAATTACATCATCAATATCAACGAAAACATTAATAATCCTCTTTTCGCAGTTATATTTTAATCAGTCCCTGATTTGGAGGAAATATCAGATCTGGAGACTCTTCACCAACTTCACATTCTTCGGAACCATCGGTTTTAACTTTGTATTTAACATGATATTTACATATCGGTACTGTCGAATGTTGGAAGAAGGCTCTTTCAGAGGGAGAACTGGTAAGATATTCAACATATTCTAAAGTTCTTTACATCTAGTAAGATAGTGATAGTAGGATAATCGTCATATTCATTACTTGAAAGTAGCCTTATATCAATCTTTTTATAGCAACAATCTTCTCTGATGATCTTCATTTACTGGCTCAATTGACAATTCTATCCGCATCTACATTTTCTCATTTCAGCCGACTTTATAATGATGTTTGTTTTTGGTGGTTTTCTGATGACGATATGCGCATGTTTCGTGAACTTGGTGTTTTTGGGGCAAGCCTTTACCATCATGCTCGTGTACATCTGGGCCAAGAGAAATCCTTACATTAGGATGAATTTCTTTGGAATGCTCAACTTTAATGCTCCTTATTTACCATGGGTAAGCACTTTGTTTTTTTGTTTGATAACTGATTCAAATTTATCCTTTTTATTACAATCATTTACTTAAACCGAATTTTGTGTGATCGAAAATGCTTTAAGGTTTGGTGCAGTTTTACATCCTCAACACTTAATCATTTGCATTGAAAAGTCATATCATTGTAATCTCAGGTTCTGTTTGGATTCTCATTACTTCTTGATAACTCAGTTATAGTTGATCTCATGGGTATCGCTGTAGGACACGTTTATTTCTACTTAGAGGATGTGCTTCCTAACATTGAGGTATGTATTATGTTTTTATAATCGACGGAATTAGTTATTGATTGAATTCTTTCTAAAAATTAAATTAAAGTCGGGAAAGTAAGGTTTTAGATTCAAAAACTTTTAAAACTAGAAGTCATCTTACAGATAATCTTACAGATAAGACTGTGTAGTGCATTTGGATTCCAATTCAATCCTATCAGAACAGACTAATAAACTATTATATAATGCGATATTAACCTGACATTATAATTTATAAATTTGCATCAAATCATGGCAGTATCGAGATAGCCCGACCACTGTCTGCGGACCACTGTCTGCGGACCACTGTCTGCGGACCACTGTCTGCGGACCACTGTCTGCGGACCACTGTCTGCGGACCACTGTTCGCGGACAGTTGTCCGCAGACACCTGTCTACCAGATCATATTACTGTATAATAACAGTATCCCCTGAATCAAGCAACAGGTGTTTGTGAATAGTTCATTGGTTACCAGATCATATGAATGGTATGTATGGTATCTTGGATGCAATTAGTTACGACTTGCATAATTAATTGTAGCGTAGTAAATTACTGGATCAAACTATTGATTACGATTCAAATGTGGTCTCTTGGATATAATTAGTTACGAATAATAGTGATTGCTCAATGAAATAAATGATTACGATTAAAATGTGGTATATAAGTCGTTCGTTTTTGGTGAAGTATTATCAGTTGCCATCATCAACAACAACAACTATTCCAATTCCTGACATGGTACTCTTCTGTCTAATGGACGAAATTAATGGACCCACCGCCTCCCTAGAGAATGCTCGAGACTTCCTATTCCAGAAAAACCTCCAGACAGTGGTCCGCAGACAGTGGTCCGCAGACAGTGGTCCGCGGACAGTGGTCCGCGGACAGTGGTCGGGCTATCTCGATACTGCCCAAATCATAACATCTCGCCTTGCTCAGGGAGGATGTAAGATCCTGAAGACACCCCGGCTCCTGAAGCTCCTGTTTGACGAAGGAGAAGATGAGTACGGGGAGGTACCTGATGATACCCGGCCAGGGGGCTATAACTGGGGGGAGGATGTCAGGGAACAACCAGAACAGGAGGCTGCTCCTCAGGAGGACCATCCTCATCAGGATTAGGGGACTCTTCTCATTATTTCCTACTGTAATATGGGCCTTGTTGTGCTGCTTGGGGATTCCAGTATTGTTAGGGAATGTTGGGGTACGTTTTTTGCTTGACCTTCTGAAGATAACCCGTTCATGATGGTGATACCTTTGTGGAAAAAAGTAAAGAATTGATTTTTATTTGAAAATGAATTGTAATGATGATGTTCCAAGCTTTAGCTCCATTAATTCATCTACTGGCATGATTTTCGGGGAAAAAAGGTTTTTAAACATGACGTTAAGGTGAAATGTTTGATATAATATAATCATAAGTGGTTGCTGGTCAACATTTCTGATGATTGACGCAATTCTAGATTATTCAATACACTTCACGATTGATTTGTTTACAGCAAAACATTGGGGACCTTCGTTTTTAGCGTTAGTGAATTAAATTTTACTTACTAGTTTTAAGTTTAGTAAAGTATGATGTTTTATCAGAATCGTGACGTTAAATTAAGTTGTTGTCAACAACTGTAAGTAATTGTAGACTCAGTAGGGGTGGAAATTGTCTTATAGTAAAACTAGAGATTTCACTGCCTACCCCCAGCTGTGTGTTCAGGCTTTGTCAGAATTTTCATTATACATTTATTTGTGAAGGGCGAAGGTGTACACAAATGTTTCGGAAAGTTGTTGAGTCTTCTGATATAAATAGTATCTTTGCTTTTTATTGATTAACCCATTAGGGACGATAGGGTCGTTTTTATGACCCACCTTTTCTAGACGAAAAACCAAATTACTAAACGCTATAACGAATCTATAGCATATATACTCAAAATTTATTGGGCTTCATTATACGTAGCCCAATAAATTTTGAGCATATATGCTATAGATTCGTTATAGCGTTTAGTAATTTGGTTTTTCGTCTAGAAAAGGTGGGTCATAAAAACGACCCTATCGTCCCTAATGGGTTAAGTGATTATTCTTCTTTGGGGGAATATCAATTGAACCCTCGCAATTGCATAAAACCCCTTGCAATTAATTTGTAAATGAATGATTATGTTGCAATATGTATTATGTAATTTACTGGATAATAAGATAATATTAGTTAACATTTTCTTAGGATTTGCAAGAATTAGTATACAATTTGTTTTATTCAACAATCATAAACACAAATAGACCTGCGCCTGATGAACTATTTAAACTATAAAAGCAAATATGACTCATCTCAACAGTATCCAAGTTTATCGGTGAGAAATATCAAGATAACAAGCATCATTTCAAAAGTTTAAAGTTTGCCGCTTTTTCTCGTGCTGTGCTCGTACGATCTAGCATACCGGCCATCCCATTAAACCATATTTAGATAATTGTATGTGGACAGGAAGTACTAGTACCACTCCACACCGTCAACAAATTCGCAGTTGTTAGGAGAGTATAGAGTTTCGTCACGTTCTTTTCTCAGAATGTATTTCTCAGTGAGAGCTACTGTTCGTAGTTAATGTACTTATACTTACTGTCGCTTTATGAACAGTCACATACGGGTTGCTTTTCGTGGCTTGGCAGATATTGCATTTTCTTGAAGGTAGTGTTTTTTCCCTCTTTATCGCATGATCTTTGGATCGGTAGTAGTACTTCCATTCCACGCTGATAGCTATTGGCAGCTGTTAACACAGTTGTTTTGTTCCCTCTCGTTGCGGGCTACTGTTCACAATTCGCTTCGTAGAAGATACGTACACCGTACGCGTACGGTACACCCCGCACACGACCATATTTCTAGAAAACATAATAATCGATCTCCATCCTACACTGCTTTTCATAGTTTTGTCACAATAATCATCATACTGAACTCAGTGTGATTATATTTGAAGTTAAATCTTCTTTGGGGGACTATAAATTGAAGCCACACGGTTATATTACTTGAAAACGCATTAGAGTTTCGTCACGTTATTTTATCAGAATGTACATATTTTCCGACGAGAACTAGGGTTCGTAGTTAATGTACCTATACTTACTGTCGCTTTATAAACAGTCACATACGGGTTGCTTTTCGTAGGTTGGCACTTGGCAGATATTACATTTTCTAGAAGGTAGTGTTTGTTCCCTCGCATGATCTTTGGAGCGGTAGTACTACTTCCATTCCACGCTGATAGCTATTCGCAGCTGTTAAGTGCTAACACAGTTGTTTTGTCACGTTGCGGGCAGTTTAAATCTCAGTGAGCTACTCTTATACTAGTTCTTTATGCTTATTGCTTGTTCATTCTCGCTTCTTTAATATCACATACGGCACACGACAATATTTCTCGAAAACATAATAATCTATTCCCGTCCTGCATTGCTTTTCCTAGTTGTCTCACAATTATCAGCATATATAATGATCTCATTTTTATTGTCTTTGAAGTTAGCCTATTATACACAACTCATACATGAGAAGTACAATACGTCATTGGTCTCAATGTTGGGCCTAATTGTACAAAGAACCGTTTATTTATGAGGATGACTTGGTTTGGACATGCAAAGTAAACCTTGGCAGCTTGTGCCTCTGTTCATTTAACTGAAAACCGATGGGTTTGTTCTGTTTTTTTTTGAAAAAAGAAATTTCTTCGAAATTGAACCACTCAGTTGTTTCTAAATTTGAAACTGTACAAAACTTCTTAGAATGATCAGTACACACTCGACTACTCCTGCGGAACAGGAGCCTGCTGCAAGCGCACCATTCTCGCCCTCCTTTCCCGCAACTGTCTCAGCCGGCATTCCTCCGCTCCTTCAAACCATGAGGCATACCTGAGATTCCCGCAATTCCTTCACGACATCAACACTAAGCTTATGTTGTACAAGACTCCAGGAACCAGGATTTACTGGAGGATAAAGGAAAAACTCGTCTACAGTCAAAATGTTTACTGTTGAGGGTACCAACATTTTTAATACCCAACTAATTTTTCTGGCTTTCAGTTGAGATTTTCCTCCCTTTTTACCTGAACTTGTTTACATTTAGGCTGTACTCATATATTTACAGGGTGCATTGGCACACTATTACCCCTGAGTGAAAACGGATCGTGGAGCTCTGGGAAACAACTCAGCATCGCTTTAAAGGGTCTCTTCTGGCAGAGTGACATCGACTACAACTTGTGTACCGTTTGTTCTTTCCCATGTGTCGGCGGAGTTCACCGGATAGCTTTCTGGCCAGAGTTTGGGGACTGGATTCAGTTCTTTCAAAGGCTTTCACTCATTATCATTCTTTTCAGACGTCTGTTAAATGATATCGTCACATTATTCGGGTAGCTTTCTATTCGATCACGATGGAGTATTGTGTGTCCGTTTTCGAAAAAGAAATGGATTACGCAATACAAAAATACGCATTTTTTTGTTCTCATATATAACTAAACATTTCAATTGAATTTACATGGTGGATGGCGAGGCGGTTTAAGGCGTGGTTTTAGGCACCAGGTCCGAAGGGCGTGGGTCGAATCCCACTTCAGTCAATCTTTTGAAAATTTATGATGAGTTTCCTAATTGATTCTATTTTTCAGGTATGCTGAAACAAAACTGCCCATAAATCCGCTACCAAGGTGGGACGTATGAATGTTTACAAATGTCAACGGATATCATCTCTACTATCTTCGAAAACTATGACGAGGTATGCTGAGGAAATATTTATGTTGTATGTGTTCGGTTCGGGGATATCAGGTCTGTGCCAGTGGTGATGTCCAACCTTTTAATCGTTTATTGAACTTCTTTGTATCTGGTTATTTTCAAGAAGTACTAGATTGTCGGCATCCCGTGACACGTACGCTTTAGGTCAATGTTTAACAAACTTGTTGGGAAATGAGAATGCATCATGTTGAAGATAGGCCAATAATTTTATATCGCTGCTGTTAGCGGAAGAAGCTTAATTTTCTAAACCGTGCATGATCACATTATCTGTACTTTTAACACCTCTTAATTTTAGGTATATCACCTGACAGTAGGGGAGGGATCATCAACCAGTACTTTCACTTTATCGTTTGCTAAATGTGACAGTGGCACAACTACTTTGGGTTTATGAGTGTTTCCGTCCAAGAGTGGAATTTTGGTACAACTGAAGATCACAAGGATTTTGCGTTTTCCTTTAGATGAGTAATGAATTCTGCTCCCAAATACGTCTAAGCTGCAGCCAGATTAATCCGCGCAGCGACTTGAGTAATTGGGAAAATCGCGTCTCTTAAAGCGACCGCGATCCGAAAACTGTCAGCGTTTGCAGGACCATGTTCGTTTTTGCCTGGATTCGGATCGTTCTTTTTTTTGGGAAACCTGGAGGACGTCGAGGAAGGCTTCCAATTTTCAATGATATGACGGTATATAAAAGCAATACGAGAAATGGCGGCTTACTGTAAGGCAAAAGTGAGCCGTTGATCACTGCTGCGGATTTTTTCCTGAGCTTGCATATTACTTATATCAATAAAATGGTATCAAAAACTGTTATTAAAATCTTGCGTTCAACTATTTTCGGATAGACCTAAAATAAGTTACCTTTGGATTCCTGATGATTTTCTTATAGTATTTATCTTATATTCTTTGTGATGTTGCGATTACGCTTTTTTGTAGAAACCTGTAGATAATATTAAACATATTTTTGTCTTTGGCTTTTCTAATTTTTCTGTTCCTCCGAAGTTGGAGGACAACTTCACCAAACTTGGATCACCTTTGGCCCTAATATTTTGTTGTGGTAAATGCCTGACATTAACTGGTGGTACTAGAACATTGTTCACATTGCTATAGATTAAGTTTTTCGTGTATAGCTTTAGTGGCGACGAGCATACTGGCGCGCCGCGACGCTTTTTCCGAATCGTCACCAAGGACACGTTGGCCCGCTTGTCCTCTTCTAGCTTGATGCCCTAACGTAAATTTGTAATAACATTTTTGCCAAACCCTTACGCTTGTTACCAAAAGATGGTGGTTACTAACCCCCTGGAGAACGTTCAGTCATATTTGCAATTTTACCAAAAACGTATGTTAATGTATCAAAATTCAAAAGGCCAGTTGGGACAGGTTGTACGCAGAGATCGGACTGAATTCGATTTTCGTGTTCAAGTCCAATTTCGAGGTTGATTTTACCAAACCTCGAGGGTGTTGTGGCGGGATTTAATAAATTTTAAAAAACTATTGGGCTAAGCTCTCCCACGGATATCTGTCTTACATGGCTTCCAGCAATCGAGGCTCTACTAGCTTAGTATTAGGGGAAATATGCCTCCAATCGATTATGAACATGAAAATGTCTAAATTAGTGATTCGGGCCGATTCGGCCTCTACTAGCCGCGTGTTCAATAGTGCTAGTACCACTATAATACATACTATTTACTGGGCCGCGCTCAGCCTGTCATTCCGCCAAATCTTTATTCTATTATGTTAATGAACATAATAGCCTGGGGTCCTCAGGTAAACATACTATATACCTTA